TTAGTCCGTGCCGCGTGTAGCCGCGCGGCACAGAGTCCGCACTAGCGGACATTTAAAAATGGTAGCGCCTGGCACGATGCAAATCAAGCCCGGGAAATTCAAATCCCGGGCTTCATTTGCAACTCCGGTTGCCTACATTACCACCCTAGTTCGAACTAGGGTGATAGTGTAGACATACCCTAGTGGTATGTCTACACTACAGCGCTAATTCGAACTAACTTAGTTCGAATTAGTTAATTCGAACTAAGCTAATTCGAACTAACGCATCCAGACTAAAAAACTAGTTCGAATTGGAGATTTGCTAATTCAAACTAGCGTGTCCACGCAACAAAAATGATTAGGGGTTTGGAACGGGTGCCATATGAAGAGAGATTAAAAACTGGGATTTTTCATCATAGAAAAGAGGAGACAATGAGAGAATACAATAGACTTATGAAATCATGGTGGGTATGGAGAAAGTGAATAAGGTAAAGTTATTTACTAATATAAGACCTAGTTGAGTCACCAAATGAAGTTAATAGGTAGCAGGTTTAAAACAAAAGGAAGTTTTTCTTCACACAGTGTACAGTCAGCCTATGGAACTCCTTGCCAGATCATGTTGTGAAGACCAGGACTTTAACAGCATTCGAAAAAGAATTAGATAACTTCATGGAGGTCAGGTCTATCAATACCATTCCTACCCATCCTGGGTAATAAGTATCCCTACCCTCTGTTTGTCAGAGGCTGGAAATAGATGACATAAAGGGATCACTTGATGGCTACCTGTTCTTTTTACTCCCTCTGGGGCATCTGGTATTAGGCACTGTTGGAAGACAGGATACTGGGCTAGATTGATCCTTAGTTTGCCGCAGTACGGCCATTCTTATGCCTGCACACAACGATTAGCTACCTCCTGCCTGCACATTGTGTAGTTTTTCAAACTTTTTAGCTGAACCCTGTCCCCATTTGAGTTGTTATTTTTGGTTGCACTCTCCCAAAATTCAGACAGGTTCCATGCTCTGCTGAAATTTTGCTGTTGATACTATGAACAAACAGCAAATAGGAATGATCCCTTCTAAAAATGCTTGTGCATTAGCCTTGTCAGAATGTAAATGTAATCTTGGTTAATAGTTTATGCTCAGTCTCTGGAATGAAGCTCTCTTTCGACATTTTGAGGAGCTGTTTATTATGTAGGCTTTAAGGTTTAGTGAATTCATACACACCTCCTTTTAAAACATTCTGTAGCACTAACTTAATTTGTTTTTCAAGCATAAACTGTGAGCAATCTTACATCTTCCCTTCCCCCTCAATCTAATTCACTTTGAGGAAGTTGCCCACTCTATTGGATGTGGTGTGTGTTGTATTAGAGAAGTCTTCTAAGTACAGGCAGTCCCCGGGTTACGTACAATATAGGGACTATAGGTTTGTTCTTAAGTTGAATTTGTATGTAAGTTGGAACTGGCTCCAGATTCAGCTGCTGCCACTGAAACTGACCAGGGGCTGACTACAGGAAGCTGGAGACAGAGTTGCTCTGCCCCCAGCTTCCTGGAATCAGCCTGATCAGTTTCAACAGCTGCTGAATCTGGAGCCTGGGATAGAACAGCTGGGGCGCTGCCCGGTAGGTTCCCACAGGACCAACCAGGCAGCACCCCAGCTGCTCTACCCGAGGCGTCCCGCAACAAAAGCCTGGTCTGCTGAGTGCGCCCCCTCCCCCCCCAGCAGACCAGGGAGACCCGAGCAAAGCCGCACAGGCGGAGGGACCCCGCCGCCCGTGTGGCTTTGCTCCTTTGCCCTCGAGCAAAGCCGCACAGGCGGCGGGATGCTGCCTCTGTGGCCTTGCTCCTGTCTCCCTGGGCTGCTGGGGGGGGCCA